AATCGTGCACCCTGTATATAGGTAATATAAACCTTATGCATTATTAGACTTGTCGACAAAAAAAGTTATCCAACTTTTTTGTAAGTTAATCTATATCACAGAGAAACCTATAAGCGGCTACCGTGCCGATTACGCTAGGACCCTTTTTCCGCCCGTTCCGTTGCGCCCCCTGAGAAAATGTATGCACACTATATCCGTCCTAACGGTAACGGCAAAGCGTGCACGGTTCTTGTTCATTCTACTTTCTTAAGAAAGATAGTAAGGCCCCTTGCACAATGCCAGGCAACAAGCAATAAGAATAAAAATAGACCAATCACAATTGACTATTACAAGAATAATCTATTGTGATTGGTCTATTTTTATTCTTATTGCCTGTTGCCTGGCATTGTGCAAGGGGCTTAAGTTGGAAAAGCAAAGACGATCAATCGCTCTCCATTTTTGTCGCACCACCGATGAGCAAGCGCACGACAAGAAGAGGCACGAATAAACGGCAGATCTTATCGCTAAGCTAGAATCTCTCCTGTCTGCCCCCCCCCCCACCTTCTCATCTTTCATGCAACGCACTACCCGCAATTCGGGAAGAAATATTTCGAGACCGTCCAGATAACATCTAGCAATGACACAACTCTGTCTATCTTTTTTTTATAACAGTGGGGAAATCCATTATGGATATCCCCGCTCCTGAGGGAGGACGGAGGTTATGCCGGACTCCTACCGGTTAAAACCCCACCGGGGTATCTATCTTTCGGACCATGGTAGGGGGAGTCAAGGGAACTCCCTCCCCGATACCCCGGCCCCAGGGCTCATTATCAAAGCCCCACACCCAAGTACTGTGCCTCCTCCTACAAAGGGAGTCGGGGGCGTGGCCCCCCGGCCGGTTTTCCGGCCGGGTTGGCCTTCTGGTTATATTTACTGAAGGGGAGATACCCACTCACCCTCCAAGCCCCCTTGCCCGTCAAGAGGGGCGGGAAATGGGGCCCAGCCCTAACCAGGCCTCCACTCCCCTTTCCCGGTCCCTACCAACGCTCGAGGGGAGACACACAACCCTGTCTGCACAGACGTGGCAAGAACGTGGCAAGTACGTCGCTGTGACGTCATTACGTTGTAGCGACGTGCTTGCCACGTACGGTGTCAAGGAAAATGACGCTAATGACTGGCTATTTTTTTAATTTTTATATTCAATTTTATGATTTTCGTATTCAATTATGCACATACACATACATATGCGTTATAAATGTTAATACCCATACAGCACACAAATGTTGCAAATACATTGCAGAAATGTTTCATTGCAATGTTGAAATATTGCAAATACATTGCAAAATGTTGCTGCAGCATTGCTGTGGGTTGTAGAAACGTTAAAATGTCCACTTTTAGAAAGATTGCCACAATAAATCGTAGCAATATTATGCTGTAACGAATATGCAATAATGCAATGTTACTGCAACCATCGAATAATATTGTATATAAGAATATTTCTGCTTCTGAATAAATAAACATCAGGAACATATGGAAATATTTAACATAAGAAAAAGCTAAACGTGAACAAATATTTGCAATAATTGAATATGTAAAAAATATATAATATAAAATTGTTTATAAATACAATACTAGAATCTAAAATATAATAGTATATATAGGGTGGCCCATTTTAAGTGTCCACCCGAAATATCTCTCTTATTTTTCATTTTAGAAAAAAATGCTTCAGACGCGTTTTATATGGTTTGGAGGGGGCCATAAGAGGATACCATTAATTTGACCTTGAAGAGTCATTTGAAGGTCACGTGAAAGTTACCTCAATTTTTTTAGATGGCACCCCCTACTTTTTATTACATATTCTTTTAGGTGGCCTCGAGAGCTTCTCAAAACACTATGATGAAATGTTTTTTGGTGAAGTACTTTTCGATTTATGAAGCTTACAAAATTTTGATAAAAATACAAAATATTTCGTAAAACATTCACTTTCCGATAGTCTTATCTTACATGATCCAACCAGTCAAGGCAGGATCCGAGCATGATCCAACCAGTCAAGGCAAGATCCGAGCATGATCCAGCCAGTCAAGGCAAGATCCGAGCATAATCTAGCCATTCAAGGCAAGATCCGAGCATGATCTAGCCATTCAAGGCAAGATCCGAGCATGATCCAGCCAGTCAAGGCAAGATCCGAGCATGATCCAACCAATCAAGGCAAGATCTTCTTTTGTGTACAATTACTTAAAGTGTTCAAAAACTTGGCCATTTACTTGTATGCATAGTTCTAGTCTATGGTGAAAGTCGTCCCTAACTTTTTCAAGAACAGCTACATTAATATTTCTGCAAGCATGTCTGATCCGGTTTTTCATATTTTCAACGGTTGTAGGCTTTTGCGAATAAACTATATCTCTAATGTAGCCCCAGAAATAAAAATCTAGGGGTGTCAAGTCGGGTGATCTTGGGGGCTATTCTTGAACTCGGCTGCCCATACCAATCCACCTATTCGGGAATCTATTGTTTAAATATTGTGTAACAGCTCGAGATCTATGAGCCGGTGCTCCATCTTGTTGGAACCACATTCGTCTGAGTAAATCATTGTCGACATGTCTCAAGAGGTTGGGCAGGTCATCTTGAAGAAATCTTTGATAGATTGCCGCATTGAGATTTTCTTCAAAAAAATATGGACCAACATTAACATCTCCCAGGATGCTTGCCCAAACGTTAATGGACCACTGCCGTTGGAACTCTTGGCTTCTCTGCCAATGTGGATTAGCATCTGAATAATAATGGCAGTTATGTCTATTAACGCCTCCTCTATTACAAAACGTGGCTTTATCAGAAAAAAGCTTATCAGCAATGAACCGGGGATTTTGTTGGATTTGATCTCGAGCCCAGTTACAAAAACGTACACGGCGTTGGTAGTCCCTCTCTTCCAATTGCTGAGTTAGATGAATGTGATATGGGTGAAACTTGTTGAGCTTGAGCACACGATGGGCTGTTGATTTAGATATACCGTATTGCCTCTCAATTTGCCTCGTAGAGATTGGAGGATTCAAAGCAACGGCACCTATAACAGTCAATGATGTGACTTCATCATGGCCCGATTTCGCCGGTTTCCTCTAAGAAAACCTTGTTCAGTTCTGTCGCAGAGTCTTTTTATTATTTTCCCATCAGGATGGCGTCTGTCTGGAAATCCTACAGCATAAAGCCTTTCTGCTGCCGAGTAATTATTCCTGGCTTCATTCAAAATGCGAATCATGTCCACAATTTCATTTGGTGGATAAGCAGCTATAATTATAAAGAAAAAAAGTGCCAAAAAACCAAAAATTCCTGTCTTATCAAAAAAAAGTCAATGGATAATAATATGCGTCTGTCTGAGACTTCGTCAAAATACCGACAGTTGCCCAAATAAGAAATTTGAAATAAGTCTCTTGATATTTGTTTCATTAGAAGAATTGATAAATGCACTTTCACAATTGTTACAGTTCATTGATTATCAGGCAATACAGGATCTCGTCTTGACTGGCTGGATCATGTTCGGATCTTGCCTTGACTGGTTGGATCATGCTCGAATTTTTTTTTTTGACGAGGAGGAAATCCATCATGGATACCCTGACCCTCGGGGAAGGGCCAGGATTATGCCGGACTCCTACCGGCTAAAACCTCCTCGAGTGGCGCTGCGAAAGGATTTGAATCGGGGCCCCGGTGCCTACGTAACTGCAATCGGGGCCCCGAGTCCAGATGCTGACTACCGTCGATTCCCCGAGAGGTGCTAGGGGAGGGGGGAAGCGAGCCTAGGCTCATCTTCACCCACCGCTCTCCCTGCACCCCTCACGCCCTGCTTCTGTGGCTGGGAAGGGAGAAGCCGGCCAAAGGGCCTACACTTCAACCGTTCCCAGCCAGGCGGGGCGCTGCCAAGGTACCGTTGTGTGACTAGCTGACCCACCGTATCAGCTAGCCACCCTACTTTGGAGGGCTAGCTGGGACACCGGGAGTCCTCGCCCGGTGTCCCATCCTCCACCCGGCGGCTGCGGAGGGAAAAATCGAATCTCCTAACCGCCGGGCACACTTGCCTCAAAGAGGCAGGGGGAGGGGTCAAAAAACCCCTCCCTCCCTTCCTGCCCACTTTTGTATGGTGGGCCAATGGAGGCGAGGGGGGTGTCTTAGACAGCTATACTGTCCCTTAACTTACCCCCCCCCCTCGCCCTCATCCGATCCCAGTCTTTGGAGTCGGAGTGTGACTAGGGAGGGGCTGCCCTCCCCTCAGTCTTTGGCCTCCTGTGCTGTTGTCGGCAACCTGCGTCGATGCGCCGGCCGCAACTGTTCCTGCCGGTTGAATCGCCCCCCTCCTAAGCTTTGCCCTCCGTGGGGGCATCACTCTGGTGGGGAGCGTCTTCCTAATGGGTACCAGTGGGGGATGGGGTGCAGGAAGTAAAGGAAAAGAGGGTTGGGATGGAGGACAGGACGGGAGAGGTGGAAGGGGATGGGGAGGGGAAGGGGGAGGAATGGAGGGACAGGGGTAGTGGTGGGGGAAACCCCACCATTCCCCTTACCGTCTCCTCAGAGGAGTCAGCGTCTCTTTCCCTACTTGGGGAGCGGCGCATGGCTCGACGGCGCTGCCGCCTACTCTGCGCCCTGCCTCTTCCTTCCGATTGACGGCGAATCTCCTCCGCCTCTTCCTTCTGCCTCATCACGTCCTCACAGAACGCGGTGAAGCAGTCCCATTTCCTCTCGCTCTCCAGCATAGAACTGACTACGCCGGGGAGTAAGAAATCGGGCCCCAATTCTCTGACCACGACTCCGCGCTCGACTGTCCATGCTGGGCAGTCTTGAAGAGTGCTGCGCGGAGTCGTGGTCCGCTCCGCAGTGGTGACACTACGTAGTGCGCTCCTTTCCTATACGACAAAGGTACTCACCGAAGTAGCCATGCCCGGTGAGCACCTGTGTCGTCTTGAATGTCAAGGTTCCTGATTCCCTACCTGTCCATTCTGTCAGGCAGGGCTGGACGGCCTGGACGCTCCTTCTCCCTATTTGGCATTGCACAAACGCCTCTGCCAACGCTGAAGAAAGAGCTGTCGACCCTGGTGCTTCAGGTGCCGCAGGGCCCCGGGGAGCGATTTGCCAGCCCTTAAGTTCCTCCGGAGCTCCCCTTTCTTCCTGTACACATTCTTGTACATCAATGCGAGGAGCTCCAGAGGGGGCATGCCCGCCAGCGCCGTCGCCGCTACGTGGGACACAGTTCGGTACGCCCTGATGACCCTGACCGCCACCGTCCTATGTGCAGTGCGCAATAGCGCTTGCAGCGGATGGCTGGCGGCCAGAGTCTCCGCCCAAATGGGTGCTCCATAAAGGGCGACCGAATTTATGATTCCCGCGTGGAGGCGACGCGCCTTCATATCTGGTCCCCCGACATTGGGCATTAATTTGCCCAAGTTATTAGAGATGACCTTTAGTCGGGGGACCAGGCACCTAAAGTGCTCCTTGAAGCACCAGGTGCCGTCCAGGATGAGGCCCAAATATCTCATTTGGGCCTCAACAGGAATCCTGACCCTACCAATCCGGAGATGGGCCTGAGGTGGCTTCCTGCCCTTCTGGTGAAAGAAGATAGCTTCTGTCTTCCTTTCAGCCACCGTCAGGCCCAGCCTGCGTATAAATCGCACGACGCAGTGTACCGCGAGGTTCGCCATATGTATCGCATCCGCTCAGTCTTTCCCCCCGGCCAGTATCAACGTATCATCTGCGTAGCAGATAATACTGCAGCCGTGGGGGAGGACAACTCGGAGGACCTGATCATAGTCGAGGTTCCAAAGCCCCAAGACTGACCCCTACGGGACCCCGCAGCTCATCCCCCTCTTTCGCGCCCCGCCGTCGGCGTCCGTCCAGGCTAGACGCCGACCCCGGAAATAATCCTCGATGACGGCTATGAGGTAGCGTGCGAACTTGAAGTAATCCTTCATCTCCTTCACCACGCTACCCCAGGGCAGGGTGTTAAACGCGTTGGCTATGTCGATAGACACAGCCACCGCCACCCTGCCCTCCTTCACAACAGCCTCCGAGAGGGTCCTCAAGTGCGAGATCGCATTGATAGTGGATCTACCCTCTCGGAAGCCGTATTGGCCGTCATCAAGGTTCAGGCCTGTCCGAGCCATATGCTCATTGAGGCGGGCAGCAATGACTCGCTCAAACACCTTGCCCGCCTCGTATAGAAGGCATATGGGGCGCAAAGGGGAATCCTCCGGCTCACCCTCTTTGCGGAGGACCACGTTGGCTCTCCCCCAGACTGGGGGGTATTTCCCTTTCTTAAAGGCAGCTGAGAATATCTCAGCCAACCTGCCCGCGATGACCCCCGAGGCTAGGGTGAGTACGCGACCGGGTATGCCATCAGGTCCAGGTGCCTTCCGACTTTTCACCCTCCTGATAGCCACGGCCACCTCTTCCGCTGTGACCCCCGGTACCTCCCCCCCTGTTGATCAAGGGGGAGGGCCATGTACGGATCAACGGGAGAGCTCCCTCCCCAACCGGGAAAAGGGTCCCCATGATCCGCTCCAGAAACCAGGGGTCCAGTGTCTCCGTAAGCGGGGGCGTCCACGGCCTCAGCTTTTGCATTGCTTTTTTATATGGACGCCCCCATGGATCCACATCCAATGATCGGAGGAGGTTGTCCTATCCTTAACCCTTGGCCGCCCCTATAGCCTTACGCAAAGCACGTGCAGCTAGGCAAAATTCTATTCAGGCGGCCTTGGTCATCTCGGGGGGCTTCCCATCATGGCTGGCTCTCCTAAATATCCGCCTGAGGTGGACGGATGTTCGCCTAAGCTCGGAGATTTCACCGGCCCACCACCAGGCGGACCTTCATGCTCGGATCTTGCCTTGACTGGTTGGATCATGCTCGGATCTTGCTTTGACTGGTTGGATCATGTAAGATAAGACTATCGGAAAGTGAATGTTTTACGAAATATTTTGTATTTTTATCAAAATTTTGTAAATTTGTAACTTTATAACTCGAAAGTACTTCACCAAAAAATATTTTATTACAGTGTTTTTGGGAGCTCTCAAGGTCAGCTATAAGAATATGTAATAAAAAATAGGGGGTGCCATCTAAAAAAATTGAGGTAACCTTCACGTGACCTTCAAATGACTCTTCAATGTCAAATCAATGATACCATCTTATGGCCCCCTCGAAACCATACAAAACGTGTCTGAACCATTTTTTTCTAAAATAAAAAATAAGAGAGATATTTGGGATGGACGCTTAAAATGGAACACCCTGCATATTTCTATATAATTTAGCACTATATATTTCAGATATACCAGGTATGTAAATACGAAACCGGAATTTTTGTATAGAAAATACACGTTTATTGTATGAAAATGATAAAAAATAATTTATTCGAAGTATTGCCCATCGCTAGCTATGCACTTTCCTACCTGTCTGACAATTTGTGGATGCCACGCCAAAAAAACTGTTGCTCTTTTCAGGCAAACCAGTCATCGAGCCATTTTCGTACATTTTCGTAAGAAGTGAAGCGCTGCTCAGCAAGTACGTGTCCCATCGATGCAAATAAGTAGTAATCGGACGGAGCCAAGTCTGGTGAGTAAGCTGCATGCGAAAGTATTTCCCAACTAAACACCTCAATCGTTTCCTTGACCAGTTTTGCTGTGTGTGATGGTACTTTATCATGAAGCAAAATCACTTTGTGTTGCCTTTTTTGATATTCTGGCCGTTTTTCATGCAAAGCTTGATTCAAATCGATCATTTGTTGTCGGTAGCATTCAGTATTAACGGTTTCGCCAGGTTTTAGCAGCTCATAATAGATCACACTCTTCTGATCCCACCAAACACAGAGCATTGTCTTCTGTCCATAGCGATTTGGCCTTGCAGTCGATGTCGATGGTTCGCCTGGAGTTACCCATGATCTTTTACGCTTAGGATTCTCAAAATATATCCACTTTTCATTGCCAGTCACAATTCGATGGAAAAATGACTTTCTTTTGTACCTGACGAGCAGCATTTCGCAAGTGGTTTTTCGGTTTTCCTGCTGCCTTTTATTCAGTTCATGTGGAACCCATTTTCCCATCTTCTGGATCTTTCCCATGGCTTTCAAACGTATGGAGACGGCTTCTTGTGTCACATTTAATTGATCCGCGAGTTGTTGTTACGTTTGAGCGTCATCCTCATCCAACAATGTTTGCAATTCGCTGTCTTCAAAGTTTTTCGGTGGTCTTCCACGTTCTTCGTTTCTCACGTCAAAATCGCCACGTTTAAATTTTTTAAATCACTCAAAGCACTGTGATTTACCAAGAGCATGCTCACCGTAAGCTTCGACAAGCATTCGATACAATTCTGCAGCAGTTTTCTTCAAATGGTAACAGAAAATCAATGCTGTCCGCAAATCGTAGCTTCCAGACACAAAATTTGACATGTTCAACTCTATTACAAACTATGCTATTGTATGGAACTTGTATTGTTGTAAGTTGAAAATCTTTGTCAGATGTCAACAAATGGAAATGGCGCCAATGACGCGGTTTGGCGGTAACTACATTGACAGCTAGGGCCATCTATGGGCAAATTCCGGTTTCATATTTACAGACCTGGTACAATCATTGCGAAACATGTGTTAATATTCAGCTTTTTGTATAACATATGTCACTCTGTATATTCTAGCCTAAAATAAAATTATCTGTAAGTGTATGCATATAGGGTGTTTGAAAGCTTATCATGCAGACGGAAGTTGGAGATAGATTGGGTGTAGCCGAGAAGAAAAGTCATGTACCATAATGTCAAATTGGCAATAGTTACCGAGTTATTAATTAAAACATGTGAGCCAACAAGCGCGTAGAGAGCGGAGGGTGACCGCAGTAAGCACGTAGACATTTGATACAGGCGGAGTCAGCGAGTAACGGTAGGCGAGCGCGCGCGGCGAGGGGCAACGTAAACAACAAGAGGTGAGCGCGCACGACGAAGAGCGAGCGAGCGCGAACGACAAGGAGCGAGCGAGCTATAAGGAAAAAGCTATAAGGAAAAGGCTTGCTCGCTTTTCGTCGTTCGCGCTCGTCCGCTCCTCGTCGCGCTCGCTCGTCTCTTGTCGCTTACGTTGCCCCTCGCCGCGCGCGCTCGCCTCTTGTCGCTTACGTTGCCCCTCGCCGCGCGCGCTCGCCTACCGTTACTCGCTGACTCCGCCTATGTCAAATGTTTACGTACTTACTGCGGCCGCCCTCCGCTCTCTACGCGCTCGTTGGCTCACATGTTTTAATTAATAACTCGGTAACTATTGCCAATTTGACATTATGGTACATGACTTTTTTTCTCGGCTACACCCAATCTATCTCCAACTTCCGTTTGCATAATAAACTTTCAAACACCCTGTATATGTATCAGAATGCCGTTTACAAATGGATATACAAATGTTTAGGTACGAATGTAACATTATTACTTGTGATTATATATCTTACAAGGGGAGGACGCATCGATCGGGAAACAGTTTGGAACGAAACTTACGGAGTTAATAGTACTTGACTACTAATAACTCATGGTAATAGCATACGACGCAATACCTCTTCGTTTTCGAGAAAAAACGGTCTAAAGAAAAGAGCCAACAAAGTGTACGAGTTAGTAAGAAAGGTATTCAATGAAGCAGCGTAGCACAACAGCGAAGGTAACGAACTACCGAGCTGACGGCTGAGGTTCGATCCCTGCTGTATGGTTTTTTTTATTCTGTAAGCATAAAATTGAAACAGAAAACATTAATAAATAATAAAACTGCACTTCTTAAATATATTAGTGTTTGTTAAATATATTATTAATGATTTTAATTGCAAAAAGACCGTAAATCTTATCTATAAAATGTATAGTGTATGAGAAAATTTTTATATAATAATTGCAATAGAAATAGGAATAAAAATATTGTTATGAAATATATAGGAATGCTACTAACTTTGCGGTCGATGCCGCCATAGTGGCGGCATTCGCAAGTCGTCGTAGAAGTCGATGCCGCCAGGTTGGCATTCATGATCGCCTGGCGTGCGGCACGGCAAATGAGGCTAGTGATAATGAAAGAAAACTATTCTCCCGATGCTAGATTTAAATGTTTAGATCAACTTACAGATATCCATGTTTATCGATCTCTTCGAAATCGGTCGATCGCAAAGGGTTAAACTAGTATGAGATAATTTTTCGTAATTTTATATCGTATATATAAAATATTTATTTCTGTTACAACTCTCTATGTTGTGTAGAAGTCGTGTTGTATTGAAGTTGTGTTGTGTCTTTATCTCTTCTGGCAATCCCCTTCCAGAAACTTCCTTTGTGTCATTCTAAACGATCGTTAAGAATGACGAAATGATTCGAGCATCGGAACAGTCGTCAGTAGAACAAGCAGCAGTGTGTGTTTACTAGTGATACAGAGCAATTCGGTGATCATATTTAAATTACATATATCATAACAATGTCAGAGAATCCTTCAACAAGCAAAATAGTTGATGTAGAATCGCTAGAAGAAAGATCTTTTGAAAATAAAGATTTTAAAGGTGAATTCACTAATGCTCTCGTATATGCGAATTCTATTTACGAGAATAATGAATTATTATCGAAAAATCCTCCAGCGCAAATATAATATATTTTTACTCCTATTTCCATTGCAATTATTATATAAAAATTTTCTCGTACACTATATATTTTATAGATAAGATTTACGGTTTTTTTGCAATTTAAATTATTAATAGTATATTTAACAAACACTAATATATTTAAGAAACGCAGTTTTATTACTTATTAATGTTTTCTATTTCATTTTTATGCTTACAGAATAAAAAAAACCATGTAGCAGGGATCGAACCTTAGCCGTCAGCTCGGTAGTTCATTACCTTCGCTGCTGCACTACGCCGCTTCGTTGAATATCCTTCTTACTAACTCATACACTTGTTGGCTCTTTTCTTTAGACTGTTTTTTCTCGAAAACGAAGAGGTATTGCGTCGTATGCTATTACCATGAGTTATTAGTAGTCAAGTACTATTAACTCCGTAAGTTTCGTTCCAAACTGTTTCCCGGTCGATGCGTCCTCCCCTTGTTAGTTAAGTATATTTATTTACTGTATCACTATTTACAGTACTAAATGATTATATATATTATTTCGTATATGTGGCATAGAAA